CCGTTGATTGAAGCACTTTCCCGGCACTCCACACTCCACAAAGGACGGAGGATGTTTGCCGAGCAGTAAATATGTGTGTAAACTGGGTCAGACCACCGCGTTTACTTGGTTTCGGGTGCCTTACTTCCTTAAAGCAAAGCTCAGGAAGTTACAAAGTCCGCTAAGGGCTAAGGTGTTACGTGTTTGGCTTTTGGTCCCTGAGTTTGTTTACCTGTCCCTCTTTTTCTCACCTTAGGTTTAGTAAACTTGTTTGCTCTTTAAGTCGATTTGATTCACATGCTATTCTTAGCCACTTAAGAATAATCTTAGGGCTTAGCTTTATCGCATATTTTAAGATTAAATATTATTCTTACATTATTTAATCAATAAATAAGCCAACAGTGCCTACAAAATTTTTAAAAAATAATAGAATCATAAATGAAAAACTTTCAAACAACTTGAATTAATCAACTAATAGCTTCAAGTGTTTTTTTGATTTAATTTACCCACCTCATAACTACATAACTCATTTTAAATCACATTCATGTCGCCCCTCCACTCATGCGGTACATTTAACCCAAAATACTTTTTCGCCTGTGGTTCTTGGAAGACTTTGTTTTCCTCTTTTTTCGGGAGTTCCGGCGGGGATCCAAAGTTTTTCTCGCCTTTTGTCACAAGCCATAGCTCGCATAGTCTGCGTGGAATTAACATGGCCGGGTCCGGGGTCCGTTGTCAACACGGCAAATGGTTCGGGTTCAGGTGTCAAAATTGTTTTGGCGAAAGTTTGTGGCTGCTTTTACGGCCACGCTTATTTTTGTTAAGCATTTCAAGCACAGGCTTGAGATGTGGCCAGAAAAACCACTCCCCTGATACTCCCTTATACACAGAAAAAAAAATGGCATACAAAAACCATAAACAAGTAGTTGTGATATGAGCAATTTTTATAGCATACTTTTAGGCACATTTTTGTGCGTATTCAAAACAGAGATTTCTTTGCAAATTTTTATAAAAAAATATTTTTAAGGTATTCACAATATTTTTGTAAAAAAATATTAGATAAAAACATTTCTTGGGTAAATTGAATGTCATTAAAATGTATTAATTTTTCTTAGTGCACTCACCTTGGCTAAGTGTTGCAGGCGCCGACGCTGTCGCTTTGGATGGAAAAGTTCTGTGTTGCAACAAGAGCATAACAAAAACGCAAAGGAAAATATGGTGGAAATTTTTTAACGCTTCCAAGTTTGCACGGCGCCGACAGCTTGCCAAAGGAACGAAGGGCGGCGGAGGGGGATAAGGCAAACTATTACATAACACGCATTATACAAAAAGGTGCCGGGGCAGGTTGGTGAGGTTTGGCCAGGGAGAAAATGCATAAAAAGCGCATTTTATTATTTCACTCGAAACTTGTTTACGGTTCTCGTTTTCTCCTCGTCGCGCTCTTTCATTATGATGTAATATGGTTTTAACATTATTTTTATTATAAATCAACAAAATGCACTCAGCGCGACTTTCACAGTTCTCGGTTGACGCCAAGAACTTTTTCCCCAAGTGAAAGGCAGTGAAAGCCCAGAGAAAAGCGCAAGCAAAAGGGTGCAGGAATAAAGGAATAAGCGAAAAGTGGAGGCCAGATTGGACCCTGATTTATTTAATGCTATTATAGTTATGGCTTTATTACTATGACGGGTCTGAATGGCAGGAGAGGGGGGATGGGGGATAAGAGAGGCCCAGAAGCCAGAAAAATATTGGCTTATAAAGGGATTTATGACATTTTTATGGAAAAAGATATAAATATTTTTAAAACCGAATATATATTCTATAGTTACACACAAAAAAATTTGCTTGGTAAAATTGACCAACAAAGCTGGTTACGTAACTATTAAAATAGTTACGTGTATTTTGTTTTTGCTTTGGGTTTGTGTCTTTGCTAATTGTGTGTATTTTGTTGTTGTGAAATGACTATTTACTTAGTAGAATTGACAATTTTGCTGGTTGGGGCCTGTTTGACAATTATTACAGTTGATTTTACCAAGTTTTTTTTTTGTGTGTACATAACATTTTTGTAGAACTTAATAAAATAAATTTGATTAGGTTTTAAGCGATAAAAAATATTATAAATTTGTCTAATTAAAGTTTATAAAAACAAATACATTTAATTAAATGTGCACCTTTTTAGATATATTTTAAAAATATATATATAAATTTAATTATTTTTTACAATTTCCCTCTTCAATGTTATTTTCCATTTTGCTCAAGATCTATCACTTTAAATGGTTTTTTCAACCGCTTGACATTTATCTTTTGGCAATGCGAAACAACAAATGTCACAGCTGTCTGTCAAGTCAGTTGCACCAAATGGAATATCCTTCGGGGCTCAGGACACAGCTGCAATTTTTCGTCTATGCTGCGTATTTCAAGGATAAAAGCCATGACAAGTTTTTACCGCCTCGCACTTATTAATATTTTTGCCGCTTAAATGTCAGCGGAATTTGTCAACTTCATCGCAATGCTGGGTAAAATGTCTCCAGACAGCGAAAAGTAAAAGTCCCAGCGATGAAAGTGAAAATGTGCTCATTAAAAGGCCTTCAGAAATTATTCAGACATTAAAAAGTTTCTGGGCAGTAGAAAAAACTAAAGTCTCCAAAGGAAATGTTAATCATAGTCAAGTGCTTAAATTTTTATTTTTGAATTTTTAATTTTAGAAAAACAGAATGTTGTAATAAAGATCTATAAAATTGCATATTTTATCTAAGGAAAAATCCAGTCTTTAAGTTATTGAGTTATTTTAAATACTAACTTAATAAACAATTTTTATCCAAGTGATGTTTACCTTTCACCCACTCTGATTTCATTTCATTAAGAGTTAAGAGCTTAGTCGTCATTAAGGTAAGAGCTTTTGCCTGTTGATTAATGCGACTTGTCATAATATTCACCGATTGTGTGTGCTGTGCATTCGGAATAAGATGCATTGGCAAGAGCCATTATCCTTACACTTCTTGCATTGCAATTTCCTGTCCTTAGCTGGCGATTTGCATGCTGATCTCATTAGCACAAAACAAGTTCATCTGCTGCTTGCAGCTCCCAGAGAAGCGAATCGCCTGCAAGTGCATCATTTGCATGCAAATGTCGTTGGTAGGCCACTTCCCACTGCCATTTCAGCTCCCCTTGATCCCCTTTGACCTCCGACCCCTGGATGCTTGGCTTGGGTTGTTCATTTTGCACTTTGGCTCGCCTTTGTTGTGGTTTCTCCCGTCCTGCAGGACGAAACTTGGCTTTTCTGCAGGGGGACAGAAGCAGCTCATAAAGCAGAGCCGCACTTGCGACTGCCGTTGACACTTTAGCCAATATTCAGGGCACGCAAAAAAAAATATTCTAGGGATAGAGTGAGTGTCCTTTATGAAAAGTTTCTTTTTGCCGTTTGCAAAACTTCTTGTTTGGCAATTGTCAGCCCTGTCGTTGTCGTTGTCGGTTTTTATTGCCCAGCAAACGTGGTCTTTAGCCACTCATTATGGACAGTTTAGTTGCACTTTTAGTGGGGCTCCCAAAGGAGGGAAGTGAATGCTCACATTACTTAAATTTTCCCTCCACTCAAAAAGCCATTTAAATTGGCCTAAGCATATTACGTTGAATTTAAAAACAAAACTAGAGAATATTACGCATATGCCGTAGTTGCCCAACAATTTTTATGCTGTTTCCCCACATTTTCCTCTGCTTCCACTGCCACTTAAAGAGCGAAATAAATAATTCCAAAGGTAGTTGAAGCATCCACAAGCTTTGAAAGCCCATTAAAGCAATGCGCTCCAACGCGTTTTCCAAGTACAATTAGGGATTTCAACGAACGCCAAAAGCCATACGCCAAAATATATATTTTGTGGCCAGGAAACAATAAACAAGAGAAAAAAACGATGCAGTCAAAGGAAGAAAGCACAACCTTAACAGCTGTAAATAGGGCAAATTTGGGGGGCCCAAGGCCAAGTTGTGGGAAAAATAAACAAAAATGTAATTTGCGCCACTTAGCAGCGAGCGAATGGACAGTGCCATTAATAATTCCATTTTTTTCGGGTATTATGGCAGTGGCAAAGATAATAAGGAAATATGACTTTGTGCTGCGGCTGGCTCCTCGTTTAACCACAAAAATAAAATGTGAAATGAAAAGCCGGAAGAAAAAAAAACGAAGGCAAAAACAAAACACTAGTGGAAACAACAGAAGTTGGCTTTAGTCAGAAGGTAAAAGATAGAGAAACAGCTAAATTATATGGTCAAAGACAATTTAATAAACATTTTTAAATTTATTCTTTAAATTTAAGGAGAAAATTACTATAAACTTTTTTAATACTTTTTAATATTAACGAAATAGTTAAATATTTTCATTTTGCGTTTAAGGATATATGTGTAAGAATATAGAAATATTTTCATAAATATTACTTATAGCTACTATATAATAAAAATGTTTAAATCAAATGTTTAAATAAAGATTTATAAAAAATTGTTCCGTTGTCATTTCTTTAAAACAAAAGGTATAATATTAAATTCATTAAACCTTACAATCCCGCAGAAATTTAAATTTCAATACCATTTTGCAGCTTTTTTATATTTTTACGAATGATTTCTGGCTTTGTTTCCTAACATTGGCATGGAAATTCAATTAAGGTGACAAACTGTCCGAATTTATGACATGGGAAGCGTTGAGCCCCAGAGGACCAATGGACTTTTGTGTGTGGGATTGAGACACACACTTGGGACTTGGGACCCTCATATCCTTGATGCATATTCATGGGCAAAAAGGTGGGGGGCGTGGGTCATGAATTATGAAATGTAATTGAACGAAATTGAATAATGACGGTGACCGGTGTCAGTTGACAAGAAAAGTGAAATTCCAATGAGCGATTTATGGGCCAATTTCAATTCAATTTTGACAGCCGCAAAATGTCAAAGCCAAGCGAATGAATAATGCACGAACAAAGGGGATTTTAGGTATATATAAAGGGCATTATTTGAATGTTAACTTATTGTTAGAAAATCCAATGCATTGGTGGCTACTCTTAATTTTCTCATTATCCTGCGAGGGATTGCAGGAGCGTGAGTTACTGGAACTCGACTTGGATTATGGGGTGGCGGAACCGCGGCGCACTTCGCTACTGCAGAGCAGCCTGATATTGCAATTCGCCCAGGACTACAAGCACATCCCCAGGATAACCTACTTCACGTGCCAGAAGCCCCATTCGCAGACCCCAACCCATCCAAACCAAATCCCCAGTGCTGCAGAAATACGCGACGCCTTCGCGGCGAAGAATTTTGAGCTGATTAAGAGTCTCTACGAGAGCGAGCTCTTTGTGCGGATTGTCCTTCTCGATGTCCTGACCCAGGCGGCTCCTACTTCGCCGAGTGGTCGACCCAACCGACCGGGCGCCTTCAGCCAGTCGCCCAGCCAGGCGCACAGCAATTCCGAGTGGCTGGAGAACGTCCTGCGGATGGAAGCCCTCAGGCAAATTGCGGTCGTGGATCTGGCATGCGGCGCCCTCAGTCGACGATTTCTCGAGCTGGTAAGATGAGTAGGGGAAAAGCGGGGAAATAGAGGAGGAGGAGAGTGCACGACACTCGGGAAAAATTAAGCACTTAATACTTTAATTTATTTTAATTTTCAAGAGCTTAAACTTTTTTTTTGTTTTGATTTATGGTAAGTACAAAAATAAAAAAAAGTTACCTTTGTTTTTTTCTCCAATCATTACTATATCGTAAATATCTCATTATTTAATTGATTAAATTTTAAAATGGATAAGATGATAAAAATGAAAAGATTTTGATGTGATGAGTTTTTATAGGTCTGTAATTGGCAGATTTATTTTTAAAGAAATTTTTTTTATAAATTGTAGTTATGAATTTAAAATTGCAGCATAATAATATTGAATTTAGGATAACTAATTTCTAAAAATGCAGATGGATTTCTTAGAGCCAACAAACATTTAACTATAAACTAAATATGACACCATCATAAAACTTCACCTTTTGTAATCTTAGATAATAAATTTGTCAGAGTGTTGTCGCTCATAGCCTTGTCAAGTTGTAGACTCCTTATTAAGTGCTCAAGTACAATCATTTCAAAGGCTTCCGCCAAGATGCTCTACAGCGAGAAGTTTCACTGGCTATTGATAGAGGATTTCGCCTGGCAAGGAAGGCCGCAGACAGCCGAAGGAACTCCGAAACGGGACGATGAGAAGGCCGAGGAGAAGCCACCGGGACAGCAAATTCAGACGACTGATGATGAAGACCTGCCCTCCATCGAGAGCTTCTTGGGTGGAATGAACCTGTACATGAACACCGAACTCACTCTGGCCAAGCGAATGTCCGAGGCTGCCCACTACGCCCTCTTCGATGTCTGGTGAGTGATTAACTGGCCTGGTCATCTCAGCATCACCTCAAGCTTTAAATTCCACTTGAATTGAATGGTCCTTTAACTAAAATATTATCTCGAAATTTGTCCTTTAATAGCTCAAGGACATTTTGTTAACTCATTGGTTTTCAGTTGAAATATATTGCATAAACAAGTATTTAATTAAGTTAATCGATTAGCCGACCTTCGGTTGTTTATTTCCTCAATTGATAATTTTAAACTTTCACTTGATTTAGACAGCTTTTTGGCTTAGATATTTAAGGACATATTGGTCCTTAAATTTAGCTTTTAAATGTTTATTTATTTATGCCATTTGATGATTTATTGAACATGGAATCTCTTGTTCAATTTTACCGGCAAAATGTGGTTTAATGGGTATTTAATTAAAGTCATTAAACAACAACTCAAATACCAAGAAAAGGAATTTAACTAACTGGTAATTCTAAGCTTATGGCTCATTTGAGTTATGTGATTATTCGATTTTTAGAATAATCTTCTCTTCCTATTTCGTTAAGGCGGTTATACCTATTAATTTCCTTTTTAACCGCATTGATTCTAAGCATTTTCAGTCAAAGAACCAGCTATCATTTCGCCAACATTTGACCCAAAAACCATTCATTCCCCTGAAATGCCAGGGCAAAGCGTTCTGCCTTAGTTGCCATCAACACATCAGCCATAATTTCCCAACTGTCGACTTCCCGACTGCTAATTCCCACAACGACCTGCTCCCGTTTTGGACCCTCTCGCTTAGGAACCCCGGACTCAACTACGGCGGACACGTCAATCTGACCGAAATTGGCAGCTTCACGCCGTCAGAGGGAATCCAGTTGCACACATGGTTTCGGACCACGTCCACAGTTCGTCGCAGGATGGACATGCAGCACGCCAGGTTGCGATGCATGGTTGTGGTGAGAGTTTCTGGGGGGAGTGGGAATGGGCATGGGGATTTGGGTAGGGAAAGGAGCAGAAAGATTCATCATCATCCTGAGGGACAGTAGTGCACTCGAAAAAAAAAATGAAAAACGGTCTCTAAATTAATAAGGATGAGTGAGGATTTTTATTCAAATTCCTTTCATCATATGAATATTCAAATATAAATAAATATATTTATGAAATAATTTAAAATATTTCTGATTTAAAAATAAGAATTTGATAAAGTGTTGGCCCTTACGTGTTATTTTCAGTTTAGTTAAATTGACAATAGATCTTTTAACTCTCCTATATTTTCTAAAAATATTCAGATAAACTAAAATCAACTATTAAGAATGACTATGAGTAATTGCCAATGAACATCAGTTTGTTGCGCTATATTTTTGTTGTATTGTAGTATTTAATTTTTCCAGCAAACTTTTTCGCAGTGCAATAATGTTTTGATATCTGACCTCTTGCCAGGTGACCAACAAGAACATGACGGGCACCCTGATGTACTACCTCACGCACACGGTTTCGGGTCACATCGACACGATGAACCGCTTCAACTTCAATCTGCTGATGGCAGTGCGCGACATGTTTAACTGGACGTTCGTCCTTTCGAGGACGACTTCGTGGGGATATGTGAAGAATGGTCGCTTCGACGGAATGATTGGGGCGCTTATTCGCAACGAGACGGATATTGGTGGGGCACCGATATTCTACTGGCTGGAGAGGCACAAGTGGATCGATGTGGCCGGTCGCAGTTGGTCGAGTCGTCCTTGCTTCATTTTCCGACATCCGAGGAGCACACAAAAGGATCGTATCGTATTCCTGCAACCCTTCACCAACGATGTTTGGGTTTTAATTGTAGGTTGTGGTGTTTTGACAGTATTTATTCTTTGGTTTCTCACCACCATCGAATGGAAACTGGTGCCACACGATGGCTCGGCTTTGATTAAACCGAAGGGAGGGGCACCTCCTCCAAGACATCATTACCAACAGCAGCAACAACAACAGCAGGAGGAAGTGCGTCCCATTACTGCAATTTCAGTGGTTGTTAATGAAGAAAAAGTTGAGGAAAAAATGGAGGATAGTGAAGATTCATCACCCATTGATGCTGGAACCCTTTGGCAACGCGCTTACCAGAAGCTAAATAAGTACATCAAAGATCGCAAGGCCAAGCAGAAGAAATCTCCCGAAAGAGTGGGTCTCTTTCTCGAATCCGTACTCTTTTTTGTGGGAATTATTTGCCAACAGGGTCTGGGATTTTCTACCAGTTTCGTTTCGGGTCGCTGTATCGTAATCACCAGTCTGCTCTTCTCATTTTGTATCTATCAGTTTTATTCCGCTAGTATTGTGGGCACTCTTTTGATGGAGAAACCCAAAACTATAAAGACCTTAAGTGACCTGGTCCACAGTTCGCTAAGTGTGGGCATGGAGGATATTCTCTACAACAGGGATTATTTTCTGGTAAATATATAGAAAATTAATCTATCTATTTTCTATTTAAAAACGTCTTATATTTTTAGCACACTAAAGATCCCGTGTCCATGGAACTGTATGCCAAAAAGATTACTAGTGTGCCCACCACTAAGGAAAATGAGGCCGATGAAGATGAGCCAGTGGATCCCAATCCAGCCTCTACAGATCCTGCTAAATCCTATCGCGATATTGTTCATAGTCATGAAACGGGGGCTCATGCAAAGGATAATGCAGCCAGCAATTGGTTGGATCCAGAAACGGGTTTACTTCGGGTTAAGCATGAACGTAAGTTGGTTCAAATAATTTCTAATAATTCTTTTTTTTAAGAACTTATTTTGTTTAAGGTTTTGCCTTTCATGTGGATGTGGCTGCGGCTTACAAGATCATTGCTGAAACCTTTAGCGAACAGGACATTTGCGATCTCACCGAAGTTAGCATGTTTCCGCCGCAAAAAACTGTGTGCATTATGCAGAAAAATTCTCCAATGAGAAAGGTCATTTCATATGGGTGAGTATTTATTTAAGCAAATATTTAAAAAAAAACAAAAAAAATAATTTTAGAAAAGTTGGAAATATAATATTTTAAGTATTTATTTTAATACTACTTAAACAAATTTTCATTGAATTCAAATATTAATAGATTCAACTCATTTACTTAAAAAATCCATTGGACATTCCTATATTTTCCTGTACAACGAATAATATAAATGTGATTAATGTATGTGTTTTAACAACTAATTAAATTTAATTTAGATTAAGACGTGTCACCGAAACTGGAATCCTAACGTATCACTTTAATGTCTGGCACTCGAGGAAGCCGCCTTGTGTGAAGAAAATCGAGACCTCAGACCTGCATGTGAGTTCCGGGAACTTTTCCCTTTTTCCCACCGTTTTCAACATTTAAAGCCTGCTTAATTCCAGGTTGACATGGATACCGTGAGCTCCGCCCTGTTGATACTCCTTTTCAGCTACGGCATCACCCTAATGATTCTGGCCAGCGAGATTCTGTACTCGAAATGGCAGTATCGCCTCATAATCAGACTCAATTGAATGTGATTCAATAAAATGCGAGGGGGCAGAAGGCAGAGAGTTTAAGCCCTGACACTTGAGCTCAACTGGAATTAATTGTCGTGAAGGAAGTTTTCAGTTCATTTTGAATGCGCGCTTTCCGATTCATTAGCTTGCCACAAAGGGAAAATTCGATTTTCACGCAGGAGACCATGAATGTGTCAAAAGGTAAAAGTTTAATTAAATTAACTTGGATGAGCAGCAAATCGGAGATGGGGTTGCATAATTAAATTGTGTAGTTGCTTGAACTTTTTTTTTAATGTCTTGCGATAATTCACTCAGCTTGAGAGACAGATGGTATTGATTTAGTGCGATAATGAAATGAATTAGAATTTATTTGCTATATCCTGCGAGGAGTTTTATCCACAAGATGCTGAAATTGTTTCTTAGCTTTTTTCCCCAAGAGTGGAAAATGCCTTGCAGCTGGTGAAGGAAAAAGAGTGAGTCAATTTCGGCCACAAACGAAGTACAAAATATCCATTAAGATAACAAGTTTTTCAGTAGTTGTAACACAGTTTTCCTTCCTTCTATTCCTCTCATATTTTTCCTTTTTTATTTTTTATTTTTTTGTATCTTTGCCTTTTACCGGGAGGCTTCTTGTCAGCGAGCTCACACAAAAACACAAAAGTTCTCGTCCTGGCCCAGTGTTATTTTGGCTCTTTGCCAAAGTACCGCTTTTAGGCATTTCTTTTCCGCTTTTCCCCTTTTCTCCCCTAACCGCCTTGTGTTTGTTTGTTAAATGTAAAAGGAATTGTTCCTCTTGCAGTCTTAAGTTTTCAGTTCTAGGCTAAAAAGCCACAACAACAGCGACATCAAGTCGAGGCAAATCAATTACAAGTCGTGAAAATCTGTAAAGCGTTACCGAGAAAACAAGCTGCCCAAAAGTTGTCAACATTTTTCATTTAATGTCCTTGCTCATTAGTAGTTGACCCGAAACCGAAACAAAAAACCAGAAAACCCCGAAAGTTTAATGGTAAATGTTCAATGGGCGTGTTAGTGTTAAGATGTTGGCGAAAAACTGAGTGAGTTTTTGGGTTACTCGGTTTTTATCGAACAGAACAGAGAACACGGTTGATTGAAAAACTTTAGCCAGACATATGGGTTTGCCTTCGGTTTCCGTTAAATCCATGCTCCTTGGCTATTTATCTACGCGCGCGCCATAAGATGCAATTTGGTTGCCTCACTTCGTCGACTGTGACAATTAAATTGTTTTGGCTTTGTTTGAGCAGCAAATTGTGCAACAAAACTTTGGCGGTTGCCAAGAAAAATAAACAGCGAAAGGAAAGAAAGTGGCAGCGAAGTGGGGTCGAGTGGGGAGAGACCTGCAGAAGCCGTGGCATAATTAACAAAAGCGCTCAGCAGGGCGCGTAATTTTGCCCGCTTTGCCAGCGTGCTGCTGCACTGAGAGAAATCTAGGAAAAATGTGGATACATTTAAATGTTTATGAATCACTGGAATACATTTAAATATTTGTTTATCATTAAAAAAATTTAAATATTTGTGTATCATTTAGATAAGTTTGTAGGAATTAAAAACAAAATATTTTAAAATGGAAAAGATTGTTAATTTAATTTCATTCTAAACTAAGTTGATATAAGTATCAAAATATTTATGAAATAATTAATGGTGGCCATGAACAAATATTAAATTAAATCTATGCAGAAATCCTTAGAATTTTTAAATATTTCACAAAATGTGTTTAAAAGCGTGCAGTAAATACTATTTAAAGTTGTCGTTCTGCTGTATTCGAAACATCTTGCTGCATACTTTTATACACCTTTTAAATGCGAATTCATAACTTAAGTAATTTTCATAGTTTCTTATGGTTTTTAAAAGACTTAAATGCTATTCTTTTTAATTATTTTTCACTGTGTGCCAGGGAAATTATGCTCCCTCTCTCTCTTTTAACTCGAGGTTTGGCCAGAACCCAAAAGTTTCCGCGCAAAGCCAAACTAAAGTAGTTTCCCTTAAGACGGCGCCGGGCGAGATCGGGTCGCGATTGGACAGGCGGAGCGAGCAGAGGAGGAGCATATGCTTTGGGGCCTGTGTCAAAGTGTGAAAAACTTTATGCGTCTTAATTAAATTTTATATACAGCGCTGGGAAGGAATTATGCGCCAAAATATTGCAACAGCTACCGCAGAAATCCCAATCCCTCAACTCCTCCGCGAGGGCAACTTTTCAAAAGTGACAGCTGCAACGGAGGGGTTTGGGAACTGAGGACCGAAAGAAAGTCGAAGGTCTGCCCGGTACTTGACTTTAAGCCAACCAATTAGTGAAAACTTAGGGGATAATTGAGTGCCTGATTATCAAGTGAGAGCTCACTTTACCTTTTTTATCTCCCCGCTCTGTGGGATAATTTTTACGGCAAGTCGGCGATAAGAGAATTGCGAATGAGGTGGAAAAGTGTTCTAAACGAATTTGGGTCACTTGGAATTATTCTTTTACTTTCTTTACAAAATCGTACTAATATTTTAGGATGCTATAAAAAATCTCTAGAGGTTTTCAGTTTTAATTCTAATAATAGCCATTTCATTTAACAATTATGTTAACAATTATGTTGGCACAATTTTCTTTCATGCAAGAAATTCAATTATCTCTACATGTGTTTCATATTCAATATTTACCTTTGCTAATTAACTTTCTCCGTGTGCCAAATGAACTAAACAAATTTGTACAGAATTCGAGGTATTTCTGGATTCTCATTATCATTCCGAGCATATACGACATCCGACAGAATGTGTGTGACACACATTTGAGGGGAAATCTGAGGAGGAGTTGGGTGGAGAAAAGCCAGACACGTGGCCAATTTCGAGTGTCACAGAACGGATTTTTTTGTCTGTTTCGTGAGGCTGGGAATGAAATGAGATTGGGTTACGAAGAAAGTTCTAAGCCTACTTGAAAAGGCTTTATTATTAAATTAAAAATGGTAAATTAATATTGTAAAATATTAAAAACGGTAAACTAATTTTATAAAATATTTTAAGCATTAAAAATGTTAAATATTATAAAATTCTCTTAATATTCTTTTGTTATATTTACACTTGATTATGCATCAAAAACAATTTATTATAAGTATCACTTTAACTAAACCTTTGAAAACATTGATTCCCCCTCCCTTTTAAACCACGAACAATTTAGTGAGCTTAATTAATATTAAGGTTCATAGATGATAAATTATTCGAGGACATGAATGATTATAATTGAGGGCCATTCATGACTGCATGTGTAATTTAATGTTTCTGCAATTGTTTTTTGCCTGATTCACTTCTGTTGCAACTAATTCCCCAAACAAGTTGTAAACTTTAATGGCATTTTGTTGCCTCTCTTTTTTTGTTGGTCCTTTTCGATTAGTTCAGTTGTTTTACCCTCATAATAGTTGACAACTGTAATTTATGATTCTTTTTTGCTGTGCTGGCGGTTTGGTTTGGCCAGTTGCCAAAACTATTTTTTCCATATTTTATTTTTTATCAACTGAATGCCGGTGAATACAAGAGGTGAAAAGTTAGTCATGGCATTGTTAAATAATGTACAAATGCATTAGATGCAAAAATATATATAGTAGTTCAAGGGATGATAAATATTGAAGCGTAAAAGCTTTTAAATATTATTTAAATGCTAGTAAAACAGTTTTTGTCGATTGCCAACTTTTAGACAGAAGTCAGACGCAGATAAAGGGAAAATAGACAGCGGCAGAACATCATTAATACGCATTATTTACATTTCTCAAAAGTTTAAAATCGATCAATTGTCGTTTATTCGCTTTCAAGTTGCGTCCTTTCATCTGTGAAAGTTTCTATGTCTGTGCAGAATTTTCTTTTCCCATTTATATATATTTTTTTTCCGTCTAGCCGATGGCACCGGAAGTTGCCAAGGAGCAGCAGTAGCAAACCGGAAAGAAAAGAAGAAGCCAGGGAAAATCGAAAGTTTTGATTTATAATCGGACAAGTTTTTCAGAGCTGCCTTCAATTCAGTGCTGTTGCATTTTCCGAGTTTCCCTGGCCGGCTGTCCATTGAATTGGAAGCGGATTTGTCATGGCTCAAGAATGGAAATGGAATGGAAAACTTTCTGCCGACTTGGTGTATTATATTATTTAATTTATTTACAATATCCGCTCCGCTATTTGTGCGTTTGTCAGGTGTTCAGCTGTTCAGCTGTTCAACTGTTCAACTGTTGAATATAGCAATGCCCATTCATTCATTTAAATCGTCGAACAATGGCCGCTGTCTTAGGCCCAATAAATTTCAATTAAAATGTCAACAATTTGCGGAGCAGCGACAAGATCTCTCTGCTTCACAATATATATATCGTATATTGGCTGGGGAGGATTTATCGCTGCCATTTGCTTATTGACAGCTGGGGAAAGTGAGCGTGACATGATGGAAAGTAATCTAATGGAGAGCATAGAGACCAGCTGACTCAGGTAATTCATCATAAATATGCTGAGCACAAATACAGGACCCTCCTACTCTTACACCTGTGGCTGTCGTCGCCGGGAGTCATCAATCTTCCGAAAGGGAAGTTGACTTCCCCTTTTATTTTGCAAGAAGGGGAGGCGGTAGAATTTAAATAAATTATATTGTCAGGAAATAGAAGACTCAGTCGTTGAGTTGTTAACTAAAATGTAGCCTTCAGTTGCAGGGGAAAAATTTTCAATGGCTATAAATTATTTGGAAAATATATCGATTTGGATTTTCTTTTTTTAAAAATATTTCATTTCTATATAGTAGAACAAAGTGGGATTATGTTTATTTACGTATTGAAGCATTTTTATAGGGCAATTTATTCTGCCTAAAATTTCACGCATATTCTCTCCTTAAAGGAGTTTTTCTAGCTTACTAATTTACCTATATTTTCCCCTTATTTTCCTTCTGACGTTTAAATTTTGTAAACAGCCTGTGGCAAAACATTTTAAGGCTTACAAAAAAAACCTAAAACTCCGTTTTCCGGCCTTTGCGAATAAAATAACAGGCAAAAGGGAGC